TCCTACACTCTGGTGTGTGGACGCCTGCAGTATGGTGTGTTGGCTCCTACACTCTGGTGTGTGGACGCCTGCACTCTGGTGTGTGGGCTCCTACACTCTGGTGTGTGGACGCCTGCACTCTGGAGTGTGGGCTCCTACACTCTGGTGTGTGGTCGCCTGCACTCCGGAGTGTGGGCTCCTACGCTCTGGTGTGTGGACTCCTGCACTCTGATTTGTTGACGCCTTTACACTTACGTGAAGACGCCCTCACTCAGGTGTGTGGACGCCTGCACTCTGGTGTGTGGATGCTTGCACTCTGGTGTGTGGATGCCTGAACTCTGGTGGGTGGACGTCTTCACTCTGGTTTGTGGACGATTTCACTCTGGTGTGCGGACGCCTGCACTCTGATATTGACGCCTTCACTCTGGTGTGTACACGCCTAAACTCTGGTGTGTGGACGCCTAAACTCTGGTGTGTGGATGCCTGCACTCTGGTGTGTGAACGTCTGCACTCTGGTATGTGGACGCCTGCCCTCCGGTGTGTGTGGTCGCCTGCACTCTGGTGTGTGTGGACGCCTGCACTCTGGTGTGTGGACGCCTGCTCTCTGGTGTGTGTGGACGCCTGCACTCGTGTGTGTGGACGCCTACTCTCTGGTGTGTGGACGCCTGCCCTCTGGTGTGTGTGGACGCCTGCACTCTGGTGTGTTTGGACGCGTGCACTGTGGTGTGTGGACGCCTGCACTCTGGTGTGTGAACGCGTGCACTGTTGTGTGTGGACGCCTGCACTCTGGTGTGTGGACGCCTGCACTCTGGTGTGTGGGCGCTTACACTCTGAAGAGTGGATTCCTACACTCTGGTGTGTGGGCTCCTACACTCTTCAGTGTGCACTCCGACACACTGGTGTGTGGACGCCTGCACTCTGGTGAGTGGACGCCTGCACTCTGGTGAGTGGACGCCTGCACTCTGGTGTGTGGGCTCCTAAATTCTAGTGTGTGGACGCCTGCACTTTGGTGTGTGGACGCCTGCTCTCTGGTGTGTGTACCCCTACACTCTGGTGTGTGGACGCCTGCACTCGTGTGTGTGGACGCCTACCCTCTTGTGTGTGGCCGCCTGCCCTCTGGTGTGTGTGAACGCCTGCACTCTGGTGTGTGGACGCCTGCACTCTGGTGTCTGGACGCCTGCACTCTGGTGTCTGGACGCTTACACTCTGATGAGTGGATTCCTACACTTTGGTGTGTGGGCTCCTACACTCTGGCGTGTGCGATCCTACATACTGGTGTGTGGACGCCTGCACTCTGGTGTGTGGACGCCTGCACTCTGGTGTGTGGGTTTCTACACTCTGGTGTGTGGACGCATGCACTTTGGTGTGTGGACGCCTTCACTCTGGTGTGTGGGCTCCTACACTCTGGTGTGTGGACGCCTTCATTCTGGTGTTTGTACGCCTACACTCTGGTGTGTGGACGCCTACGGTCTGGTGTGTGGACGCATGCACTCTGGTGTGTGGACGTCTACACTCTGGTGTGTGGACGTCTACACTCTGGTGTGTGGACGCCTTTCACTCTGGTGTGTGGACGCCTACACTCTGGTGTCTGGACGCCTTTCATTTTGGTGTGTGGACGCCTACACTCTGGTGTGTGGACGCCTACACTCTGGTGTGTGGACGCCTTTCACTCGGGTGTGTGGATGCCTACACTCTGGTGTGTGGATGCCTACACTCTGGTGTGTGGACGCCTACACTCTGGTGTGTGTGGACGCCTGCACTCTGGTGTGTGGACGCCTACACTCTGATGTGTGAACGCCTTTACTCTGGTGTGTGGACGCCTACACTCTGGTGTGTGGGCTCCTACACTCTGGTGTGTGGACGCCTGCTCTCTGGTGTGTGGACGCCTTCACTTTGGTGTGTGCACGGCTACACTCTGGTGTGTGGACGCCTTGCTTCCGGTGTGTGAACGCCTACATTCTGGGGTGTGAACGCTTTCACTATGGTGTGTGGACGCCTGCACTCTGATTTGTGGACGCCTTTACTCTGATGTGAAGACGCCTGCACTCAGGTGTGTGGACGCCTGCACTCTGGTGTGTGGAGGCCTGAACTCTGGTGTGTGGACGCCTGCACTCTGGTGTGTGGACGCCTGCTCTCTGGTGTGTGGACGCCTTCACCTTGGTGTGTGGACGCCTTTACTCTGGTGTGTGGACGCCTTCACTCTGGTGTGTAGACGCCTGCACTCTGGTGTGTGGACGCCTGCACTATGGTGTGTGGACGCCTTCACTCTGGTGAGTGGACGCCTACACTCTGGTGTGTGTGGACGCCTGCACTCTGGTGTGTGGACGCCTACACTCTGGTATGTGGACGCCTGCACCCCGGTGTGTGGACGGCTGCACTCTCGTGTGTGGACGCCTACACTCTGGTGTGTGGACGCCTGCACTCCGGTGTGTGGACACCTGCACTCTGGTGTGTGGTCGCTTGCACTTTGGTGTGTGGGCTCCTACACTCTGGTGTCTGGAGGCCTGCACTCTGGTGTGTGGACACCTGCACTCTTGTGCGAGGGCGCCTGCACTCTGGTGTTGACGCCTTCACTCTGGTGTGTGGACGCCTTCACTCTGGTGTGTGGTCGCCTTCACTCTGATATTGACGCCTTCACTCTGGTGCGTGGACGCCTACAGTCTGATATGTGGAGGCCTGAACTCTGGTGTGTAGATGCCTGCACTCTGGTGTGTGTGGACGCCTGCACTCGTGTGTGTGGACGCTTACACTCTGGTGTGTGAACGCCTGCACTTTGGTGTGTGAACGCCTGCACTCTGGTGTGTGAACGCCTGCACTCTGGTGTGTGGACGCCTGCACTCTGGTGCGAGAACGCCTGCACTCTGGTGTGTGGGCAGTGTGGTAAACTGTCATCCTGGTGACCCGTCAACCTGGTGACCCGTCATCCTGGTGACCCGTCAACCTGGTGACCCGTCAACCTGGTGACCGGTCATCCTGGTGACCCGTCAACCTGGTGACCGGTCATCCTGGTGACCCGTCATCCTGGTGACCCGTCAACCTGGTGACCCGTCAACCTGGTGACCCGTCATCCTGGTGACCGGTCATCCTGGTGACCCGTCAACCTGGTGACCCGTCAACCTGGTGACCCGTCATCCAGGTGACCCGTCAACCTGGTGACCCGTCAACCTGGTGACCCGTTATCCTGGTGACCCGTCAACCTGGTGACCCGTCATCCTGGTGACCCGTCAACCTGGTGACCCGTCATCCTGGTGACCCGTCATCCTGGTGATCCGTCAACCTGGTGACCCGTCAACCTGGTGACCCGTCAACCTGGTGACCCGTCAACCTGGTGACCCGTCATCCTGGTGACCCGTCATCCTGGTGACCCGTCAACCTGGTGACCCGTCATCCTGGTGACCCGTCATCCTGGTGACCCGTCATCCTGGTGACCCGTCAACCTGGTGACCCGTCAACCTGGTGACCCGTCATCCTGGTGACCCGTCATCCTGGTGACCCGTCAACCTGGTGACCCGTCATCCTGGTGGCCCGTCATCCTGGTGGCCCGTCAACCTGGTGGCCCGTCAACCTGGTGACCCGTCATCCTGGTGACCGGTCATCCTGGTGACCCGTCATCCTGGTGACCCGTCAACCTGGTGACCCGTCAACCTGGTGACCCGTCAACCTGGTGACCCGTCAACCTGGTGACCCGTCAACCTGGTGACCCGTCATCCTGGTGACCCGTCATCCTGGTGACCCGTCAACCTGGTGACCCGTCAACCTGGTGACCCGTCAACCTGGTGACCCGTCAACCTGGTGACCCGTCATCCTGGTGACCCGTCATCCTGGTGACCCGTCAACCTGGTGACCCGTCAACCTGGTGACCCGTCATCCTGGTGATCCGTCAACCTGGTGACCCGTCAACCTGGTGACCCGTCAACCTGGTGACCCGTCAACCTGGTGACCCGTCAACCTGGTGACCCGTCAACCTGGTGACCCATCAACCTGGTGACCCGTCAACCTGGTGACCCGTCATCCTGGTGATCCGTCATCCTGGTGACCCGTCAACCTGGTGACCCGTCATCCTGGTGACCCGTCAACCTGGTGACCCGTCAACCTGGTGACCCGTCAACCTGGTGACCCGTCATCCTGGTGACCCGTCAACCTGGTGACCCGTCAACCTGGTGACCCGTCAACCTGGTGACCCGTCATCCTGGTGACCCGTCATCCTGGTGACCCGTCAACCTGGTGACCCGTCAACCTGGTGACCCGTCATCCTGGTGACCCGTCATCCTGGTGACCCGTCAACCTGGTGACCCGTCAACCTGGTGACCCGTCAACCTGGTGACCCGTCAACCTGGTGACCCGTCAACCTGGTGACCCATCAACCTGGTGACCCGTCAACCTGGTGACCCGTCAACCTGGTGACCCGTCATCCTGGTGACCCGTCAACCTGGTGACCCGTCAACCTGGTGACCCGTCATCCTGGTGACCCGTCAACCTGGTGACCCGTCATCCTAGTGACCCGTCATCCTGGTGACCCGTCATCCTGGTGACCCGTCAACCTACTGACCAGTCAACCTGGTGACCCGTCCTCTATAACAGCATATATTATGCCACATCAAAACAAAATATATAACAACTATATTGTTTATAATACTAAGATTAAACGTTAGGTTTACTTTGATAAGGCAATATTTTTACTCTATTAGGCCTAAACACTGTTAGATTACGAAATTGGATTAGATGAACAACATTTATTATTTCCTTAGCAGTTGTATGCAACAAGTTTTTAGTCGGACATAATGGGGTCATTTCTGTGTGGAACAGTCAGCATTTTGTCCACAAGTCTTCCCCGCTGCCTCTACTGTCAGCGTCCTTAGGAGAGGAGCACAATACTAGTGAACCGCACAGTCGTTCACAGTGACTCTTACCACGATAATTTGTGTGGCGTAGTCATGCCTGAGGGCAGATAACATTAACACTGCTGATGATAACTTACCGTGTATAGCATGTCACTGTTCCGAGTTATTGGTCACATACAGACGACAACAGCAACAAGAACGGCGACTAAAACCCTGAACGTCACGTGGACAGTGTCGGCGACGGTGACATCAACGGCAACGGTGATAACAACAACACCGACGACAACAACGGCAACAGTGACAACCACAGCAACGGTGACAACAACGGCAACGGTGAAGCAGTTGCTGACGAGTACAGTTCTCCAGAAGCAAACCCTCACCCTGGTGAAGCCGCCCGTCGGACACGTAGGTGAGTCCCTCACTCTGGTGAAGCCGCCCGTCGGACACGTAGGTGAGTCCCTCACCCTGGTGAAGCCGCCCGTCGGACACGTAGGTGAGTCCCTCACTCTGGTGAAGCCGCCCGTCAGACACGTAGGTGAGTCCCTCACCCTGGTGAAGCCGCCCGTCGGACACGTAGGTGAGTCCCTCACTCTGGTGAAGCCGCCCGTCGGACACGTAGGTGAGTCCCTCACCCTGGTGAAGCTGCCCGTCGGACACGTAGGTGAGTCCCTCACCCTGGTGAAGCTGCCCGTCGGACACGGAGGTGAGTCCCTCACCCTGGTGAAGCCGCCCGTCAGACACGGAGGTGAGTCCCTCACTCTGGTGAAGCCGCCCGTCAGACACGGAGGTGAGTCCCTCACCCTGGTGAAGCCGGCCGTCGGACACGTAGGTGAGTCCCTCACCCTGGTGAAGCCGCCCGTCGGACACGTAGGTGAGTCCCTCACCCTGGTGAAGCCGCCCGTCAGACACGGAGGTGAGTCCCTCACCCTGGTGAAGCCGCCCGTCAGACACGGAGGTGACTCCCTCACCCTGGTGAAGCCGCCCGTCAGACACGTAGGTGAGTCCCTCACCCTGGTGAAGCCGCCCGTCAGACACGGAGGTGAGTCCCTCACCCTGGTGAAGCCGCCCGTCAGACACGGAGGTGAGTCCCTCACCCTGGTGAAGCCGCCCGTCGGACACGTAGGCGAGTCCCTCACCCTGGTGAAGCCGCCCATCGGACACGGAGGTGAGTCCCTCACCCTGGTGAAGCTGCCCGTCGGACACGTAGGTGAGTCCCTCACCCAGGTGAAGCCGCCCGTCAGACACGTAGGTGAGTCCCTCACCCAGGTGAAGCCGCCCGTCAGACACGGAGGTGAGTCCCTCACCCTGGTGAAGCCGCCCGTCGGACACGTAGGTGAGTCCCTCACCCTGGTGAAGCCGCCCGTCGGACACGTAGGTGAGTCCCTCACCCTGGTGAAGCCGCCCGTCAGACACGGAGGTGAGTCCCTCACCCTGGTGAAGCCGCCCGTCGGACACGTAGGTGAGTCCCTCACCCTGGTGAAGCCGCCCGTCAGACACGGAGGCGAGTCCCTCACCCTGGTGAAGCCGCCCGTCGGACACGGAGGTGAGTCCCTCACCCTGGTGAAGCCGCCCGTCGGACACGTAGGTGAGTCCCTCACCCTGGTGAAGCCGCTCGTCGGACACGTAGGTGAGCCCCTCACCCTGGTGAAGCCGCCCGTCAGACACGGAGGTGAGTCCCTCACCCTGGTGAAGCCGCCCGTCAGACACGGAGGTGAGTCCCTTACCCTGCTGAAGCCGCCCGTCAGACACGGAGGCGAGTCCCTCACCCTGGTGAAGCCGCCCGTCAGACACGGAGGTGAGTCCCTCACCCTGGTGAAGCCGCCCGTCGGACACGGAGGTGAGTCCCTCACCCTGGTGAAGCCGCCCGTCGGACACGTAGGTGAGTCCCTCACCCTGGTGAAGCCGCCCGTCAGACACGGAGGCGAGTCCCTCACCCTGGTGAAGCCGCCCATCAGACACGGAGGTGAGTCCCTCACCCTGGTGAAGCCGCCCATCAGACACGGAGGTGAGTCCCTCACCCTGGTGAAGCCGCCCGTCAGACAAGGAGGTGAGTCCCTCACCCAGGTGAAGCCGCCCGTCAGACACGTAGGTGAGTCCCTCACCCTGGTGAAGCCGCCCGTCAGACACGGAGGTGAGTCCCTCACCCTGGTGAAGCCGCCCGTCAGACACGGAGGTGAGTCCCTCACCCAGGTGAAGCCGCCCGTCAGACACGGAGGTGAGTCCCTCACCCTGGTGAAGCCGCCCGTCAGACACGGAGGCGAGTCCCTCACCCTGGTGAAGCCGCCCGTCAGACACGGAAGTGAGTCTCGCCCAGTCCTAGCCATTGGCGCCTCCATAATACCAGAACTCATAACATCATGTTACTGGTGACACTGTACGTGGTCCCACACCAGTGACACTGTACGTGGTCCCTCACCAGTGACACTGTACGTGGTCCCACACCAGTGACACTGTACGTGGTCCCTCACCAGTGACACTGTACGTGGTCCCTCACCAGTGACACTGTACGTGGTCCCTCACCAGTGACACTGTATGTGGTCCCTCACCAGTGACACTGTACGTGGTCCCACACCAGTGACACTGTACGTGGTCCCTCACCAGTGACACTGTACGTGGTCCCACCCAGGATACTTTTCTCAGCTTCGTGGATGGTGACTTGGTACATGGTTTTACGGCCCTCTCGGGACGCAACGGGGTTCTTACTCTGATGTTGTTAGAGGAAGTTATATCCGACCCCAAGCCAGTAGTGGTTTTCAAGGGATGTGATCCGTGACGCAAGAAACTCAAAGGGGGAAGGGAAAGAAAGTTAAGAACTTTATATAATATAATGTCCGCCACCAATAAATAATATATGAAAAGGTTACACAGGGGGAGGGGTATTAACACTATACAAGGGGATTATCCACAATCGTTGTCTTCTGCTGAAGACTCTGGTGCCAAAACTCTCTGTGCTGAGTTCTCGGTGCTTCTTCGTGGCCTCACAACGAATTCTTCTGAGAAGTTGAGCCTACCCTGGCCACAGGTCAGCCAAAACACCGGTCCACTGGGGGCACCGCCGTGGAGGCCGTCAACCACAAATTCAGCCGGTCTGCTGGCAGGTTCCGGACCCGCAACGCTGGTCAGGCCACGCCACGAACGATATTAGGGGAACGCCCTAGACAGGAGCTTCGTGTGACACCACAAATCACTCTCCTGTCCTCAATACCCCAGTGGATGTTCGTCTCCAACAGTCGGTCCCGGGTAATCCTTCTACTGCCACTCCACTGGCAGGGTAACACACCACAGTGTTCTTCCGGGGGACGACTTCACAACTGCTGCAGCAAAGTACAAGGTATGGAGACGGCTGCCTCGGGTAGACTGACTCAACTTCCATCACAGCAGTCCCAGGTCGACTCTGTAAGCAGACACGTCATCAATAACTGGGACACACTAAGGCAACTCACTTACAGGCTCAGACACAAACGCCCACCTATCCACTCCATAGATGGCGCTGGTGTCTGAGCACCACCTCACCAGAGGTCAGCAGCGGCTGTGTTGAGCGCTGAACCGGACTAGAAACTGGCCCTCGAGGCCCATACATCCCGTTCTCGCCAGGTGTCGTCGTCCGTTTGGAGGGGGTTTCGGGAGCTGACCCACAGATGGCGTGACCCACCGGACGCTGGATCCGGGTTCGTAACACCTCCCCACCAAAAGGAATTTGGTTTAGGGTTCTAGAAAAAGAAACACAAACCAAATTAGTACGGCGACACAACTCCAAATGGACACACATGCTTCATAAACTGGGACGGCGAGGCTGTCTCGTCCACAGAACTGTCCTACTGGGGAACTCTCACACAAAGGAAACTTGCAGATGTAAGGCAATGACCTGCCTGATGTACTTCTCCACACCTCCACCGAGATGTTAATCCAGAGCATAATCTCACACCTCTCAAGTAAGGATCGGTGTGGACACGATCTGGGGCGACTCGACACTTCCCTATGTCGTGGCACCGATGATGGCTGGACACAGACGGCATTTCTAGTACCGATCCGGCGGTCCTTCAGGGAGTCGGGCACCTGGAATACAGGGGACTGATAATTCAGAGTGATAGCGACAGTGGGTAAGTCAATACTTACTTCATACGCCTCTACTAGGCTTACACCTAGTTTCAACAGGGCTGCTTGCACACAGAAGATGGCATTCGCTCTGCCCACGTCAGGTCGACCAACGTTCCGTATAACGCTGTATTGAGGCTCAGCAATCACGCGGGGGGTGTCAACCTGTCGGAAACAGTCACTCATATTATCATTTCTCGTACCTCCTGTATCACCCATCACCTTCCAGGTCCCTTCTTCGACTGCAACATTCATAGCGCACGTCTCTAATCCCTGGGATCTCTTCACGATGTTCACGGGAGCCATCATCCTTCGGGTCGTCCACTGATCCTTACTGAGAGCACATACGAGAATCAAAGATACCGCTAAGAAACATTTGGTTACCTGAGGGATAAGCTTCCTGAGCCTGTAATGTCCATAGCCGGCTACATCCATTAGCCTGGTTTGGACCAAAGAGGGCACTAGAAACTTTGCACATACCTCACATACCTCCGACGTCTGGGGAATCTCCGGCTGGTTCAGCATACATTGTACTTTGCCAGGCTGCAAGTACACAGGTGCCTTCACTCCAGACTCTTCGGTATCCGTGGGTGCTTGCACACAAGGCCTCGCTTCTTGCTCAGGTACTTCTGCCTTTGTAACCTCATGTTTCTTGTCGAGGGAAGAATTAGAAGTCTCTGCTAGAATATCGTCGATCTGCGGGTGAGAGGAAGGATTAAAAACACTCCAATCCGGGTCTGTCTTTACCTGGATATTACCATTGCCTGTTGTCACCTCCGACCTTGCTGTTTCGGCTGACTCGTCCACGACCTTGGGAAGATTGATGCTCCAATCTGTCACCAAGTCGTTGGCTAGTACCACGTCAATCCCAGCCACAGGGAGGGTATCGACTACTGCCAACGCACATGTGCCGCTGAAATAAGGAGAGTCGAGATGTACTGGCACTAAGGGGGCGATATACTGCGTCCTAGGAAACCCAACCAGGACAACCTGTTGTCTCCCGTCCACACTTACTCCCTCGGGTAACGAGCTCTTCACGATCAGGGACTGGGCCACTCCACTATCTCTGAGCACTACAACTGATCTACCAGTATGATCACTCGATACATACCCGCCTGAAGTGTGAGGGGAAAACAATCTGGGTTCTTCCTGCGTCGTCGTCGACTGGCTTCCTGCTGGTGGTATTACACAGCTCATCATCATCACCTCCCTACGTGTGCTGCCACCTCTTCTGCCTCGGCACCTAGCAGCTACATGCCCTTTCTGCCCACAAGTCCAGCACACCATATTCCTCCTCGGGCTCCGGTGTTTCGGACTGCTAGGACTTGTTCTTCGAGGGCTACTTGGGGGCGTCTTCCTAGCACTTTGTGGGACGGGTCTTTCCTCTTCGTCATGAGGTCTGTCAAACCGGCGCTGGTAATTCCTTGGGACGTACTTAGCAGACGGCCTATGAATCAGGATGTACTCCTCAGCCATGGTGGCTGCCGCACTCAAGGTCCCTACCTGCTGCTCTTCCAAGTACGTTTTTAGGTCTCCAGACAAACAATCCTTGAAGTCCTCTAGCAGTATCAGCTGCTCGAGGTCTTCCTTGGTCTCCACCTTCCGAGAGGCACACGATTCCTGAAAAAGTCGCTCCTTGATGGTGGCGAATTCGGTGAAAGTGTGCTCTGAGGTCTTTTTCAGGTTTCGGAACTTCTGCCTGTATGCCTCAGGTACCAATTGGTACGCCATGAGCACAACCTTCTTCACCTTGTCGTAATCGCCGCAGTCGTCAAGGGATAACATAGAGTAGGCGATTTGGGCCTTCCCAGTCAAGATTGACTATCATGATGGCCCAATTCTCCCTTGGCCACTCCAAAGAGGCAGCGACTTTCTCGAAGGCTGCAAAGAACTTTGAAACTTCCCTCTCATTGAATTTGGGGACCATTTTGATGTTCCTTACCGGATCGAAACCGCTGGTGTCCGTTGTTGGCCTCCGACCACCGCCTAATCGCAATACTTCTAGTTCATGTTGTCTCTGTCTTTCTTTTTCTTCTCTCTCTCGCTGTTTCTCTTCTCTTTCTCGTTCTTCTCTTTCTCTTTCTCGTTCTTCTCTCTCTCTCGTTTCTCTTCTCTTTCTCGTTCTTCTCTTTCTCTTTCTCGTTCTTCTCTCTCTCTTTCTCGTTCTAATTCTAAACGCCTCATCGCCAATTCTTTATCTTGTCTTTCTCTTTCCATTTCTAATTTCTTCCACTATTTCTCGATTAATTTCCAAGGCACGCATTTTGACAGTTAGCAAGCTTATATTCAGCTCACCTGCATCACTGTCAATGTCACTGCCTTTATCTTCCTTTTCCATGGAAGCTATTTCCTCACCTTCCTTCGTACTAGGAGTCTCGCCTTCCCGTTTCTCTTCTGCCTTCAAGTGCCGGTGAACCTTGGACAATATTTCCACACGAGAATCACTGGCACGGATCTTGATCTCCAGGTAGGCGCTCACTAGTACAAGCTCTGGTTTGCTCAGATATTTTAATCTGGCAAGACAGTCCTCTCTGTTCAGAAAAGCCTGAACATCGTCCAGATCATCGATGGTAGCTTTTTCTGCCATTGTCACAGATGGAACACTCAACTAGCACTTAACACGCACTGAGCACTGTTCTACGACAATATTGCACGTTATCGCACCAAACACTGCACTTGCCAATATTGCACGTAATTACTACGGGCACCGCACTACCCAATATTGCACTGAATCACAGCGAACCCTTCGCTCTACAGTATTGCACTGAATCACTGAGCACCGCACTACTCAATATTGCACTTAGTCACTCTTGAGCACCGCACAGGACGTATAACGTCACAATCGTCACACAGGGGGAATTATATACAGGGATTACGCCACTTCACCACCCCTGTCAAACATACTTAACAAGGGAACGGATCCCGCTGGGGATGCCAATTATGTTACGGCCCTCTCGGGACGCAACGGGGTTCTTACTCTGATGTTGTTAGAGGAAGTTATATCCGACCCCAAGCCAGTAGTGGCTTTCAAGGGATGTGATCCGTGACGCAAGAAACTCAAAGGGGGAAGGGAAAGAAAGTTAAGAACTTCATATAATATAATGTCCGCCACCAATAAATAATATATAAAAAGGTTACACAGGGGGAGGGGTATTAACACTATACAAGGGGATTATCCACAATCATTGTCTTCTGCTGAAGACTCTGGTGCCAAAACTCTCGGTGCTGAGTTCTCGGTGCTTCTTCGTGGCCTCACAACGAATTCTTCTGAGAAGTTGAGCCTACCCTGGCCACAGGTCAGCCAAAACACAGGTCCACTGGGGGCACCGCCGTGGAGGCCGTCAACCACAAATCCAGCCGGTCTGCTGGCAGGTTCCGGGCCCGCAACGCTGGTCAGGCCACGCCACGAACGATATAAGGGGAACGCCCTAGACAGGAGCTCGTGTGACACCACAAATCACTCTCCTGTCCTCAATACCCCAGTGGATGTTCGTCTCCAACAGTCGGTCCCGGGTAATCCTTCTACTGCCACTCCACTGGCAGGGTAACACACCACAGTGTTCTTCCGGGGGACGACTTCACAACTGCTGCAGCAAAGTACAAGGTATGGAGACGGCTGCCTCGGGTAGACTGACTCAACTTCCATCACAGCAGTCCCAGGTCGACTCTGTAAGCAGACACGTCATCAATAACTGGGACACACTAAGGCAACTCACTTACAGGCTCAGACACAAACGCCCATCTATCCACTCCATAGATGGCGCTGGTGTCTGAGCACCACCTCACCAGAGGTCAGCAGCGGCTGTGTTGAGCGCTGAACCGGACTAGAAACTGGCCCTCGAGGCCCATACATCCCGTCCTCGCCAGGTGTCGTCGTCCGTTTGGAGGGGGTTTCGGGAGCTGACCCACAGATGGCGTGGTTGTCACTGCTCCGTGCTCGGACGCTGGATCCGGGTTCGTAACACATGGTAACTATGATTGATATCTTATAGTCATTGATAGCACCTCTAGCACCTGATCTGTGATCTGGGAGTTATCTTGTGAACGCAGCTCTGGTGGTTATCTTACTGTGTTAATAATGCAGGGGCTCACACTGAGCGTCTCACAAAACACACCATTCCCTCACAATGGTCAAATATTTGTTGTTTCCTTGTTACCGAATTTACTCAGTGATTTTTCCGTCTTGGTTTGATACGTCCATAATGTGTATATGTGCGTTTGTGACCCACAGGGAGCAGCGGAGGATACATACACAGTGGCCACAGCTTCTGAAGGAGCACCCCGATGTCCCCTCCTGACCACAGCTGGTGAAGGAGCACCCCGATGTCCCCTCCTGACCACAACTGGTGAAGGAGCACCCTGGTGCCCCCTCCTGGCCTCAGCTGGCCTGCCCCGCCTGCAGAGTTTACCTTCACTACTTCTTGCTGGAAAATTTATATCATTTGGGATGAAAATTTTGGATGTTTTCTTAAAATTGCTAGGAATAGTTACCACTCATATATGATCAGTTGTCTACTCACTTTGTTACCAAAGGTATACTCACCATCACAGCAGTACTCATCATGTTGCCCGAAGTATAGTTAGCATAATACCAGTACTCACCATGTAACCCAGGTGTACCCAGCGTAACTGTTTTACACTCTGTGTGATGGAACGGAAAGCCTTGCCCTCGGCTAAGGTGATCTGAACACCTCAAGTAAGCTTCCTGTCATTGACAACTGTGAGCAGTTTGGACAGTTCTCCATAATTAAGCATTGAATAGTTTAAATACAGTACTTTGATCAATAATTCTCAAGAAACAAACCTAGCAGCGAAGGAAAAGTATCAAAACAATACCTTACTCTGTGACAATAGTTTAGAGTAATAAAGTAGCGTTATTTTCTAGGAAAAAGGTTGTTGATACTTGAACAATAATTAGCTGCAGTCAGACTATATTTGTCTGTCATCAGACAGACAATAGTTGGCTGTACTGGGAATATAGTTGGCTGTACTGGGACAATAGTTGGCTGTACTGGGACAATAGTTGGCTGTACTGGGACAATAGTTGGCTGTACTGGGACAATAGCTGTCAGTACTAGTACAACAGCTGCCTGTACTAATGCAATAGCTGAATGTACTAGTACAATAGCTGCCTGTACTAGTACAGTAGCTGCCTGTACTAGTACAGTAGCTGCCTGTACTAGTACAATAGCTGCATGCACTAATACAATAGCTGCCTGTACTAGTACAATAGCTGCATGCACTAATACAATAGCTGCCTGTACTAGTACAATAGCTCCATGCACTAGTACAATAGCTGCCTGTACTAGGACAATAGTTGCATGCACTAGTACAATAGCTGCCTGTACTAGTACAGTAGCAGCATGCACTAGTACAATAGCTACCAGTACTCGTACAATTTTTGACTGTACTAGGACAATAGTTGCCAATCTTGAACAAAAAGGAAATGCATCATGTACCATGTATACAGCAAGGACAATGGCTGACTACATGCTGAGCACACAGTTCAGTAGTTAACAGTTATATCTTATTAACTGTTAATTCTATACATGAAACACGTTATTTGCGAAGGTGAGAGAACAATGTATGAAGCAACACAGGTACCATTAACTTCTTAGGCTAGTCTGTAGACAACCATTAGCTTGTAAGGTAACACTCTGCAGACAGCCATTAACTTGTAAGGTAACAGTCTATAGACAACCATTAGCTTGTAAGGTAACAGTCTGTAGACAACCATTAGCTTGTAAGGTAACAGTCTGTAGACAACCATTAACTTGTAAGGTAACAGTCTGCAGACAACCATTAACTTGTAAGGTAACAGTCTGCAGACAACCATTAGCTTGTAAGGTAACAGTCTGTAGACAACCATTAGCTTGTTAGGTAACAGTCTGCAGACAACCATTAGCTTGTAAGGTAACAGTCTGCAGACAACCATTAGCTTGTAAGGTAACAGTCTGCAGACAACCATTAAGTGGTAAGGTAACAGTCTGCAGACAACCATTAACTTGTAAGGTAACAGTCTGCAGACGACCATTAACTTGTAAGGTAACAGTCTGCAGACAACCATTAACTTGTAAGGTAACAGTCTGCAGACGACCATTAACTTGTAAGGTAACAGTCTGTAGACAACCATTAAGTGGTAAGGGAAAAAACTTGACGGTCTTCATAATACACAACAAATTTGCCTTAAAACTTGTTTAACTCATCCTGACTTTACTGTGACATTAACGATCTGTAACCATCAAGCAAATGTTAACAACCGTCAATTACTTTATATGAGTGACAGGTCACAATTCCTCGTCGTTTATAACTACCACAAGACCTTGGCCACACCATGGGACTGATCACTGGCCACACCATGGGACTGATCACAGGCCACACCATGGGACTGATCACAGGCCACACCATGGGACTGATCACAGGCCACACCATGGGACTGATCACAGGCCACACCATGGGACTGATCACAGGCCACACCATGGGACTGATCACAGGCCACACCATGGGACTGATCACAGGCCACACCATGGGACTGATCACAGGCCACACCATGGGACTGATCACAGGCCACACCATGGGACTGATCACAGGCCACACCATGGGACTGATCACAGGCCACACCATGGGACTGATCACAGGCCACACCATGGGACTGATCACAGGCCACACCATGGGACTGATCACTGGCCACACCATGGGACTGACCACAGGCCACACCATGGGACTGATCACAGGCCCCACCATGGGACTGATCACAGGCCACACCATGGGACTGATCACTGGCCACACCATGGGACTGACCACAGGCCACACCATGGGACTGATCACTGGCCACACCATGGGACTAACCACAGGCCACACCATGAGACTGATCACTGGCCACACCATGGGACTGACCACAGGCCACACCATGGGACTGATCACAGGCCACACCATGAGACTGATCACAGACCACACCATGGGACTGATCACAGGCCACACCATGGGACTGATCACAGGCCACACCATGGGACTGATCACAGGCCACACCATGGGACTGATCACAGGCCACACCATGGGACTGATCACAGGCCACACCATGGGACTGATCACAGGCCACACCATGGGACTGATCAATGGCCACACCATGGGACTGATCACAGGCCACACCATGGGACTGATCACTGGCCACACCATGGGACTGACCACAGGCCACACCATGGGACTGATCACTGGCCACACCATGGGACTGATCACTGGCCACACCATGAGACTGATCACAGACCACACCATGGGACTGATCACAGGCCACACCATGGGACTGATCACAGGCCACACCATGGGACTGATCACAGGCCACACCATGGGACTGATCACAGGCCACACCATGGGACTGATCACTGGCCACACCATGGGACTGACCACAGGCCACACCATGGGACTGATCACAGGCCCCACCATGGGACTGATCACAGGCCACACCATGGGACTGATCACTGGCCACACCATGGGACTGACCACAGGCCACACCATGGGACTGATCACTGGCCACACCATGGGACTAACCACAGGCCACACCATGAGACTGATCACTGGCCACACCATGGGACTGACCACAGGCCACACCATGGGACTGATCACAGGCCACACCATGAGACTGATCACAGACCACACCATGGGACTGATCACAGGCCACACCATGGGACTGATCACAGGCCACACCATGGGACTGATCACAGGCCACACCATGGGACTGATCACAGGCCACACCTTGGGACTGATCACAGGCCACACCATGGGACTGATCACAGGCCACACCATGGGACTGATCAATGGCCACACCATGGGACTGATCACAGGCCACACCATGGAACTGACCACAGGCCACACCATGAGACTGATCACTGGCCACACCATGGGACTGACCACAGGCCACACCATGGGACTGATCACTGGCCACACCATGAGACTGATCACAGACCACACCATGGGACTGATCACAGGCCACACCATGGGACTGATCACAGGCCACACCATGGGACTGATCACAGGCCACACCATGGGACTGATCACAGGCCACACCATGGGACTGATCACAGGCCACACCATGGGACTGATCACAGGCCACACCATGGGACTGATCACAGGCCACACCATGGGACTGATCAATGGCCACACCATGGGACTGATCGCAGGCCACACCATGAGACTGATCACAGGCCACACCGTGGGACTGATCACAGGCCACACCATGGGACTGATCACAGGCCACACCATGGGACTGATCACAGGCCACACCATGGGACTGATCAATGGCCACACCATGGGACTGATCACAGGCCACACCATGAGACTGATCACAGGCCACACCATGGGACTGATCACAGGCCACACCATGGGACTGATCACAGGCCACACCATGAGACTGATCACAGGCCACACCATGGGACTGATCACAGGCCACACCATGGGACTGATCACAGGCCACACCATGGGACTGATCACAGGCCACACCATGGGACTGATCACAGGCCACACCATGGGACTGATCACAGGCCACACCATGGGACTGATCAATGGCCACACCATGGGACTGATCACAGGCCACACCATGAGACTGATCACAGGCCACACCATGAGACTGATCACAGGCCACACCATGAGAATGATCAATGGCCACTCCATGAGACTGATCACAGGCCACACCATGAGACTGATCACAGCCCAGCAAACAATTTAAGGTTGCCACAACATATCTGGAAAGTATTTGAAGGGATTGGAAACGTTTGTTTTATCGTATCAGATACGATATTGTGTGTGGACTTAAATAGGTTTCCAAAACTTAAAACCAAAACCTACGTATCTAACACTAATTTGAGATGTTGTGGCAACTTTACACTCCTAACATGAGTCATTCATAATCCATTCATACACCAATATGAATCTCTTGTGAAAGGTTTGAGCCAATAATCTGAACCCTTTTCACATCTTTTTGTTTAAAGTTAAATTTCTTGAAATTAAATTATATTATATTATTATTTTTATTATATTTTATTTTATATTGTATTATTATTTTTGTTATATTTTTTTATATTATATTATTGTTTTCAATTTAAATATTAAAACCAATTTAAGGGTAAAAAAATCAAATAATTTATATTTCTTTTATTATTTACTAACAAATCAGCAAAAATACAAAAACATATGACCTATATAATTATATATATAATATATATATAAATAATATATATAAATAATTTATATAATATATATATATATATATATATATATATATATATATATATATATATATATATATATATGTAAACAAGCATGAATGGTCCCCAGTACTATATACAACTGAAAACTCACACCCCAGAAGTGACTCGAAATCATACTGCCAGGAGCAACGCAACTGGTATGTACAGGGACGCCTTAATCCGCTTGACCATCACGACCGGACATAAGGAAGTGATAGCCGAAGCTATTTGAACCACTTCCCCGCCGGCACTCGGATGGTAATCTTGGGCATAGCATTTTATCAAATCACCTCATTCTTTGGGGCACACATGAGGAACACAAATGCAAACAAGCCTGAATGGTCCCCAGGACTATATACAACTGAAAACTCACACCCCAGAAGTGACTCGAACCCATACTGCCAGGAGAAACGCAACTGGTATGTACAGGGACGCCTTAATCCGCTTGACCATCACGACCGGACATAAGGAAGTGATAGCCGAAGCTATTTGAACCACTTCCCCGCCGGCACTCGGATGGTAATCTTGGGCATAGCATTTTATCAAATCACCTCATTCTTTGGGGCACACGTGAGGAACACAAATGCAAACAAGCCTGAATGGTTCCCAGGACTATATACAACTGAAAACTCACACCCCAGAAGTGACTCGAACCCATACTGCCAGGAGCAACGCAACTGGTATGTTCAGGGACGCCTTAATCCGCTTGACCATCACGACCAGACATAAGGAAGTGATAGCCGAAGCTATTTTTACCACTTCCCCGCCGGCACTCAGATGGTAATCTTGGGCATAGCATTTTATCAAATCACCTCATTCTTTGGGGCACACGTGAGAAACACAAATGCAAACAAGCCTGAATGGTCCCCCAGGACTATATACAACTAAAAACTCACACCCCAGAAGTGACTCGAACCCATACTGCCAGGAGCAACGCAACTGGTACGTACAGGGATGCCTTAATCCGCTTGACCATCACGACCGGACATAAGGAAGTGATAAGAATGAGGTGATTTGATAAAATGCTATGCCCAAGATGCAGTGAGCATTTCCTCTCTGGATTGCCACACTAAGGCGCTGAAAAGGAAAACTAGCAGCTCTAGGGCCTCTAGTTGTTTCGATTAGCTTAGACCCCAACTCCTTCAAAAAGCTAGCAGCACTTTTACCCCAGGCACCAAGTGTCTCTGAGGCAATGGGGACAAAATTGTAGTGGTGCTCAAGGTCTCTGTATTTACGTGACTTGGCCGCTTCCCGGTGATTGGCAGCTCCTCCTGCTTGTGTAGCACTGAAGTCAACATAGGTATTGGCTAAAGTTGAAACGCATGTGTAGTCCCACACCAACTGTCTACCATTCTTCCTGAGTTCACCGTGATTCCGTCTGGGCGACTGACAGGCTCATCGGAGTTGCGGGACATTAGGTAACGGGGCTCTCTCTCTGCTGGACAACCGGCTGTGGTAAGGCTTCTCTTAATAATGTCATTGACCTCGCCGTGTCTTGCATGCCATCCTCCTGTCCTTTGGCAGAGAAGGCCATGCCGTCCGTATCTGTCGGCCTCTGCCTCGCCGCAAATACACCTGTATTTGGTGTGGATTGGGGCAGCGAAGCGGAGAGCCACGGCAATTCGGAGGGCCTGCGGTGTGAGATGGGTGCCGGTTGCTGACATTAGGGTTGCTAATAGGAAATCACCTGCATGGGGAGCTGCTACAGCTCTAAGTCGGGCAGTGTCATGTGGTGTTGTCGCAGCTTCTAGCAAAGTCGCAGCTTCTTGGTCGGCAATGGGGCGATCCCAGCTGGATTGCTTATGGGCTTCAGAAGGCGGTGGTTGGGGTGCTGGTCCTGTGAGAGAGACCCATTTGGTTGTGCATATATATATATATATATATATATATATATATATATATATATATATATTTTTTTTTTTTTTTTTTTTTTATATATACAATAGGAAGGGAGTACCACCTCTAGCTGGAAGAAGGGGGACCCATAGCCTCGGAGGAAACCACGCATAACGCATTAGAGGGAATGTTTAGATCCCCTCCAATACAGTTTCTGTGTGCTTTTCTCCTACCACCCCCTTCCTTTTTTATTTTTTGTGCTTTATTATGCATTTGATGGTTACAAGATATACATGGGTTGATACAAAAATAATAATGCAAAAAGGTGCTTAAAGGTTATGGATCTCTTGAAAAACACAACAATGGGAAACATTGATGAATGTCACAGACGGGTTCGATCATTGTTGCAAGTCAAACACTTCTTCGAATTCCTCCATTCCTCCTCGCCACCATATATATATATATATATATATATATATATATATATATATATATATATATATATATATATATTGGTGTATACTGGCAGCAGGTTTTCTTTCAAACATGTTTCATTGAATATGACCGCATATTCTGTATTTATTATTTTCTGGTTTAGGGCTTCTATCCCTCTAACTATTTTCTTAGCATCAGGGCTTAATTGAAATAGGAGTTCTCCAAAACATAAACCTGATAATATTCTACAAAACCAAGAAGACTTCCGAACTCCTTATCAAAAACAGCCCGAAGCCGACGGAGAACCCTCTACAGCAGTCAAGCGTTGTATACATGTACACTTGCCCCCACGAAGGATGTAACCTTCAATGTAAGTACATAGGTATGACGTCGACCAAGCTGACGAGGCGTTTGACATGCCATCTTCAATCTGGTGCCCCTAGGAATCACATGAGACAAGCCCATGACATTACTCTAACAAGAGAAATGTTGAACAAGAATACTTGCATAATAGACAAAACCCAAGATTCAAGAAGATTACAAATTCTTGAGGCAATTCACATAAGAATAGAGCGACCTACCATGAACACCCAAATCACGGAACTATTTACTCTACCCACCATGAGAGTAAGGACAAGACAAGAACATATCGATGCCAACACAGAAGACAATGTCCAACATAACAGGCCAATTACACTGGATTAATCTTTGTGTTTAGATAGGAGATGCTTCGTATGGGCCAATAAGCCTTCTGCAGCCCCTATGTTTATCCCTTATGTATCCCCCCATGTTTTTCACCTTCATTGTATTATCACCTGACCTAATGCGGGTATAAAATCAACTAGTATTGTAAGATCTGTTCACTTGAGAATGAACCATGGAGGTTCGAAACGTCGTGCAAATTATACAAATAAGTGTAATATACTCTATAGTAAATCACTTCTTTTCTTCACCTTAAAAGTACGAAAATGAGTTTTGGAGAACTCCTATTCCAATTAAGCCCTGATGCTAAGAAAATAGTTAGAGGGATAGAAGCCCTAAACCAGAAAATAATAAATACAGAATATGCGGTCATATTCAATGAAATATATATATATATATATATATATATATATATATATATATATATATATATATATATATAATATATATTATATATATATATACACACACACATATATAGATTCTATATAGACACTAGAGAAGATTCAGCGGTATGCCACCAGGCTCGCCACCATTTTCAGTATTCGTCATATCCAAGTCTGTTGTGTGATGCACATGTCTTCTGCTTCACCACCCTGTAATGAAATATTGTTTGTTACTAATTGATTTCAATAATACATAAATTATTTTATTATATAATATTTAATTTATTAAGTAAAAACCCTTTCCATATTATAGAAAAAAAAACTAAAACATGAATCTTTATAAAACAATATTATATCCTGCATTATTCCAGCCCATTATTAGAGATAGTAGCCACCTCTTATTTTGGTTTTCTTTCATTATTAGTGCTCAGAAAATTAAATATATCTACATATTTAGTCAAAATCAATTACATTATTTTATCTTATTCATAGCATAAATGTTCACAAAGATTACTAAAAAGAGATTGAATTAGACTACAGCAAATTGACAAACTTTACCTTGTATCTGTTTCCACCGAGTTTGTTTGGGGCGTTCTTCAACATATCAGCAATACTTGTCTCAACATCTCTTTCAGTTGCATTAGTGTGGGTGTTGATACAGGCTTCTGGAAATTTACAAGAATTAATTGATATATATAATTATAATTTACTTTGTCAGGAGACAAGAAGCCACAGAGTAATAACATTGTTGGCGTTTATTGAGGTGTTCCCCTGTTCTCCAGTCTTCCTCTGTCCCCTCGTCCTTCCCACCATTCCCCATTCCACATTCCTCTCGTCCTTCCCACTTCCCCGTCCCCACATTCTCCCCACTATTCCCACTTCCCTGTCCCATCGTCGTCCATACCATTTCCCCCTCCCCTGTCCCCTCTTCCTCCCCCACCATCTCCCATTCACCTGTCCCTTTGTCCTCCCCAGCATTCTCCATTCCCCTGTCCCCACCATCCCCAGTCCCCTCGTCCTCCCCACCATTACCCTCTCCTCTGTTCCCTCGTCTTCCCCACCATCCCCCCTCTCGTCCTCCCCACCATTCTAAACTACCACATCCGATGCATTCCATAATGGTCTGATGCTTCCATCAGAAAATTGGGAACATCAAATGATCTGATGTTCCCAATTTTCTGATGGGAACATCAAATGATCTGATATTCTCATCACTGAAAAATAAGAACAGCTAAAAAAAATGATATGAAAAAATAGAAAATAAAATATACTCATGAAATGAACAGTATGGTTAACAACACAGCTCAATTGCAATGCAATGTCACAATAACATTTAATAACAATAATAACAATAACATTTAAATATACTTTAAGATATAATCTAGAAAAAAATAAGGACATTGAAACGGTTCATGAACTCGATTTCAATAAAGGACACTATGGGGAACTTTGAAAAATAGTTAATGAGTATAATTAGACAGACTTGTTGCTAGGCAGATTAGTAAATAATGAGATATATGGCAAATTTTGCAAAATATACAATGAAGGCACACAAACATTCATACCCAAACAAAGCAAAATGCTAGGTAAGAACAAAGCAGTTGGCCCGTAGGGGAAAGGAGATACCCACAAGACTAGAATACAAGTCATTAACAAGCACGCAAGTATAATACATAATACATGCACACTTATATAATCCAAAAAAATGTCAAATTTACGTACTTATTATTACATTACAAATATCCAAGGTTTTGAAGACACGTTTCCTCTTGCGCCCAACGAGTGAATTCTGAGACCAGACCCCATAGGTCGCTATCCTCCTCATCATTCGTCTCACTGTGTCTCCACAGCTTGCACTGCCCATTTGAGACAGCGTCTGGACCTGTTAAAATAATGCATAAGCTGTAAGGTAATAGAGAATAATATATATCTTTCAATCTCAACATTAGATTTTCTAATTTCCAACTGTATTAAATAAATAGCATTAAAATATTTTCCTTCTTAACTATTACAAAAATCCACGAATTTGAGTAACTTTTGCTTTTGTTGTATTTGTACCTTAAACATAACACTGAACAATCAATTATGTGCCCCCCCACCTTCCTTCATCCCCAAAAAAACTAATCAAAAGACATATGTACAAGGCTAAAAAAATTCAGCAACACTTACCATACTCAGGCTAAAAGAATTAAGCAACACTTACCATACTCTTTTTATATTCACTGTTAACTTTTAGCTCGTGTGACAGACTTTCCACCTGCTCAACAGTTTCAAGTGGGGATGGAAGAATGTCTTCCAGGATTGGTATATCTCCATGTGTTTTTGACATACGGGTTTCCGTCATTTTGACGATATTCAGGATATCCCCTGATAAAAATGTCAAATTTTGACAATTCCTTCATTATGTATTCCATTTTTAGCCTAATCCATACTCTTGATTTGACTCGGCTTCAAAAGAACTAATGTCATTGTCTGACGACTCAATCTCTGAACTTGATGCTGCCTCAGTAAGATTAATGGGTTCACTAGTGTGTACAGCTGTATTTGGATGCATTTTGTGTATACGTTTTAGCCTTCTTGATACTTGCATCCATCTGTTGTTGTATTGGAGTCGCTTTTTTCGCTTATACTCGTACATTCTGTTAAAGAGTCAAATTTCTACATTAGACTACCATATTACTTATATTATTGTTAATAATGTATTGACAGATGCAATATGTATTAAAATTCTAAAAATAAGTCATGCATTATATACAATGTGTGGGAAACTGTCTGCTGAGAAAAGCTGGTGTGGGGGTTGTTACAAGATTGAGTAATAATTAAAGCTGGTGCATATAACATCCTTGTTAGGCACATGCAAAAGTGAACACTTCCAGAATTGGAGACATGCAGAAATGTAACATGTGGAAATAGAGGCATGCCAAAACAAAGACATGCATAAATTCAAATTCTTATCTAAATAATTTCTAGTGATTATTATATAAATTATTCCATCAGTACTAGATCAAATACTCACAAAAAAACCAGTGTTGAATGTAATGAAACGCCATTTTCTG